TAACATATATAACATATATATAAATATATATATGTGTAAAGGCACACACAAAGGACAAAGGACAAATAACATTTTAACCCTTGTAGAAGGTCTAGAAACAGTACAAGCAAAGATACAAGATCTCTGCGTTCTGTCGGGTTAGGATCATGCACGGACTGGCCTGCCGCTGCAGATGTAGCCACTATGAGTGAGAGGTTAGCTACACTTCCAAAGGACTAGGGAAGAGTGTTATCATTCTAGGTAATTCAGTGGAGAGGTATCCAAAACCTATCCTGATTCAACCAAAAGAAGGGGGGGGGGGGGAGAGATGCAAGACGATTACGATAAGCATCTGCTTGCTACTTGTGTTTTTGCAATTAGCATTATTATTCTCTTGGTTGCAGTCCAGGTCAGCACTGGCCAAAATAAATATATATATTTTTTTTTTTTTTTTTTTTTTTTTAATGCCTCCATATAAAGGGTTAAAATTGGTGGACTATATGTGCTCCGAAACTGTGTTACTTAAGCGCATTTTGCACATAGAGAGGATTAGCTGTGCTATTGCATTTCTAGTAAAGACAGAGGCAGAGATTGTGACTGAAGCTATAGAAATTATATAAGAAGAATTGTAACAAGAAATAAGAATAAGAATAAGAAATAAGAATAAGAATAAGAATAAGAATAAGAATAAGAATAAGAATAAGAATAAGAACGAGAATAAGAATAAGAATAAGAATAAGAATAAGAATAAGAATAAGAATAAGAATAAGAATAAGAATAAGAATAAGAATAAGAATAAGAATAAGAATAAGAATAAGAATAAGAATAAGAATAAGAATAAGAATAAGAATAAGAATAAGAATAAGAATAAGAATAAGAATAAGAATAAGAATAAGAATAAGAATAAGAATAAGAATAAGAATAAGAATAAGAATAAGAATAAGAATAAGAATAAGAATAAGAATAAGAATAAGAATAAGAATAAGAATAAGAATAAGAATAAGAATAAGAATAAGAATAAGAATAAGAATAAGAATAAGAATAAGAATAAGAATAAGAATAAGAATAAGAATAAGAATAAGAATAAGAATAAGAATAAGAATAAGAATAAGAATAAGAATAAGAATAAGAATAAGAATAAGAATAAGAATAAGAAAAAAAAAAAAAAAAAAAAAAGAAAAAAAAAAAACTAATTTCCCCTTTAGTTCACTTTCCAACACCTCACTGTAATTTTGAATGAAGGGATAGTCAATAAAAATAATGGAAATGCAGTGATAAGAAAGTCTAAAATCAACATGCAGCTACAATTTTGTTGCTCTGAAGTCATAAGCAAGCACAAGAAAATATATACAAGAAAGCAAAATAAATAAATAAAGATAACTGGTAATTCAATAAGAGATAATAAAGTAACAACTGCCATAATAATAATAGTGGGAAAAAAAAAAAAAAATGATTTGTACAAGCCATATGCATCATGCAAAAATACCAGGTTGCATGCATACCTTGGGCTCTGGCAATCTTGAGGAGCTTTCATATGTAACTTCTCGTTTGGTCTCTCGTACTGCCATTTCCTGAGGATTAGAGGTAAGGATGTTATCCACTAACTTCATAAGAAAATCACTGAACACACATAGTCAAATACAGAGATTACAAAACACAGGGTCCCAGCGAGTTATATAAAAAATGTGCGGCCGTGAAACAATATAACTTTGAATAGATGTTTCATACAGCTTTTTTCTTATCTATGACTTTAGGGAGTATGTGGACTACTAATAATGTAATTTGCATATAATGAAAAAAGGATGATGGTAACTGGTAACTGACAAGAAATAAAACATGATACTGATGTCAGTTACCCCACCAGAATCAACTTCAGTCACTCAAACTAGTACAATTTTTAAAATCCACAACATACCTATAGTAATTCCAGTAATCTAAAAAATGTATGCCCATACGAGATTCTTATCCAAAAGCAAACATCCTCTCACGATTACTATTATCTGAAGTAACTCGTGGGGCGTTGTGCATGAAGCATCTTTCTAAACAATACCCCAAACTGTAATAATGATCTCTCTTGAACATCCTCGTCCCAGCCACCTGGCCTCCCTCACCCTAAAGGAAACACATCAGAGTAGTAGCATAGTCCTCCTCACCTCACTGGTGCTCAGCAGCTTTGTGGACATGTTGTCAGAAACCACCCACTTCTGGTTCTTCATGACAATATTGAGAGGGGGTTCGTGGGTGGCCTCAGCATCGCAGGACCAGATGGTGACAGTAGCGCCGGATGGGATCTTGGACTTGGAGTGGAATTTGTATATGGTTTCCGCATCGCCAGCTGTGCGGATCACTTGGTAACTACCGATGGCAAAGTCCTGGAAGAAAGCACAATCTATGAGTGGGAGGTTATTTTTGACTTCATATGAGAGATTAAAAGTTCATTAAAAATACATGCAATTCATGGTCTTTTGTAAAATAAAAAAGTAAAATGAGCAGAGGCATCAAAAGTTATGCAAATTCACAATTATGTGCATCTTTCTATTCACAGCTGGGCCTATGCTTAGCTTTTAATATTCAATCTCATCAATTCCCAGCCATATAAAACATACGGCCATTAATGATAGAAAGTGCAATAAAATAAAGCAAGATCATAAACTACAATAAAAAAATAATAATAATAATAAAACATACGTAAAATACCAGTATAAAAAATGACAAATATCTCCTGTCCACAATAATTCCTACCTTGTCACTCTTGTTGTACAGCTTGACGAACTTTCCCTCGGGGCAGTCCTCGACGATGTCAATGTCTCCCACCGATCTAGCTGTGGACTGGTATGCCGACTTCTGGAACTCCTCCTCAATGACTTGCCTCTTGCGTTTCATTCCCCTCTGAGGTGTTCGCCTGTATGGGGTTTCTCTCTCTGTGGCACTTGAGGACACTGTGATGTTTAACCTGCAACCGTAGTTCAGAATAATCGTATGCAAACACAAATTCTTCATCTCTGAGCAACTTCAGACATCTCCTACAAATATTTCCTATAATATAATAAATACTGCATTTGGTGTTAATATATTGACATGAAGTTCCCTAAAAATTTCAAGCTGTATTACTTTCAATCCCCCTTTTTGTAAACTCTAAGAACACAACCACACCTTCTGTTGATATTGCTGATTAGGTATTAAAGATTTCTTATCTTTGAACCAAATTTTTGTTGAAAATACTTCAAATCTCCAAAACCTTTAATAAGCCTTAATCAACAAGACTAAAGGTATTAGCCACCAACAAAAAATATATATAAAAAAATAAAAAATAAAAAAGATAAAATATGCTGAACTGTCAAAAGAAAAAAAAATGGAAGAAAAGCACAACATACAGAGCAAAATAATCTGCAAAATATTTCAGATTTGTATATGGAAGTTAATCTTTTCAAGCTCCTCACTTATTAAACCTTCCTCTTCACCCAAAGCAAATGAAAAACAGAAAGGTGTCCCACCTAGCTTCCTCAGCCTCCAAGAGCTTCCTGTAAGCTGCAATCTCCATGTCTAGGGCCACCTTGATGTCCATAAGATCCTGGTATTCCTGAAGCTGCACCTGCATCTGGTTCTGCAGACGCATGATCTCCTCCTTGAGCATCAGTACCTCCGCAGCATGGGAGTCTCTGTCGACCTCCAGCTGTCCCTCCAGGTCGAGCACACGTTGCTGAGGGGCAAAATCAAAACTGTGAATAATTCATTCATATCTGAATCTTGTGAAACAAAATATCCACTTACATACATAGGGAGAATACAAGTATCTGCACTGCAAAACAGGAAGGATATCTTTCATATAAGATGACACTAATCATAACTTTTGTATCAAGATATTTCATTATTCTGAGACTTAATATTAATGTTAAGAACCCTTTTTATGTTTAAGAAAATTGCCTCTAATCAGTATCTTGTGATTAGAAAATATTTCCATTTACCAGCTTTCCGACAACAGTTTTTAAAAGAAAACTCAGCAAACCAAAAACAAGAAAAGGTAACTGAGCCCTATTTCTGTCCAAACTGTACCTTGAGTGCATTGTTGGTGCTCTCCAGATTTGTAAGACGTGAGGAGAGGTCCTGAACTTTGCTCTTGGCTTCTCTTAGGGAAGTTGTCAGAGCATCTGTATCTTCAGTAGAACGCTGGTCGCGTCTGTTAAGCTCCTCAATCTGTGGAAGTAAAAAATATTTAGAACTTTGTTTCTTTTCTAATGCCAAAATGAACTTATCTAACAAGAGTCTATACATATCTATCAAAATATTATTACAGACACTGACTGGTAAGAAAAAATTAAGACACCTGAAAATTAACAAATGCTAAACACCTTACCTTTGTCTCGTAAAGATATTCAACCTCAGAGCGATTATTCCTGAGCTGCTCCTCGTACTGATCGCGGAGATCCTTCAAAGCCTCAGTCAGCTTGGCCTCGTACTCTACCTGGAGCCGGCCATCGAGCTCAGAGATCTCTACCTGCTTTCTCTTCTTCGTCTCAGTGATCTCCTGTTCGTACACCTGTGGAAAGTCAAACGTGAGTGTGGTGTGAGTTTTTATACCCGCAACCCTTTCTATCAGCTCTATATAAAAGATGCGTTCAAGCATAATATGAGAATGAAAGATATACAATTTATGCCAAAATCAAAACTACTTACAAAACATTCTTCTGGGCAACACACATCATACTCTCACCTCTCATAACAAACATAATAACTGAAATCCCCCCAGTTAGCTACCATCACCAATACAGACAGATATAACATTGAGAATGAACTAAATCCCAAAGGGTTTCAACATATACTTAAAAGCCCTGAAATGACTCCAATTATTTAAAGAGCTTAGCCAACCTGCTGCTTGAACTGCAACTCCTCCCTGAGTGACTGGCAACGGTTCTCCAGGTCGACTCTCATCAGTGTCTCGCTCTCCAACTGTTGCTTGGCTTCAGCCAGTTGGCGGCCCAGCCTGGCCACCTCATCACGAAGTTCCTGGTGAAATAAAAAAAAGGCAAAATTATTACCTACTCAAATTTTAAATAAAGTACAATACAAGTAAAGAATAAATTATGACTAATTTGTTTCTATTGCAATTATGGGATGGTGTAATCCTCTATGATTTATTTAAATGAAACAGGAATAGTATAACATCCATTTTCTATAGATATAAGATATTTGAAAAGTCCTGTAACTCAAAAAAGAATTCACTGTCTGATACACCAAAGTGGTGTGTTAGTCCAAACTGAAATAAGTGTATTACAACCAGATAATTTTGTGTTACTTGAATCTAATTTTTCTACAAATATGTCTGATTTTTGAATTTGTATCTCCATAAGTGATGTGTTACTGAGCTTAATTTAATCTGGTAATTATTAAATAAAAATTTACTTATGTATACACATGTATATATAAACAGACAAATATATATATAAACAAACAGTTAGATAGATAGATAGATATATAGATAAATAGAAAGATAGACAGGCAGATAAACATAGGCTGATACATTCAGCTACCACCTGGTATCACAATCCTAGAGAAGAAACTAACCATCTAGTAAATAAAACACTTCAAAATAATTAACTAATATTGCCTTACCCCTTGACAAAATCCATTCATCAAAAAAAAAACAAAAAAAAACACCACAACTGTATCCTCAATGTCTTATACCCCTTATCATTAAGCTATGCCTACTTCCAAGCATTTTCCTTAGCCTTTTCACCTTCATAGGGGTCTCCTGTCTCTAGCAGATTCTACACAATCTTTAATCAGTCCAAAGACTCTCATTTCTCTTTCATCTGCCTTCCTCTCTACTCCAGCTTGAAATAAATGCTGTAGTGTCTGCCACAAGATCATCACCTCCCAGCCCCAAATCTGTACACAGCTCCCCAAAAGACTGACCTGACTGGCACTGTCCTGGACACAGAGCTCATGGGAATCACAAACCATTACCTACACCGTTCTCCAAGACACACTGTATCTTTCAGGCAATTAGTGGACTTCTTACATGATAACCTCTTTAACATCCTGTGTTGAGATATGCCTTTCCTTTGCTCAAACTAATTACATCACATCTCTTTCCTGAGGATCTTTTGTATGACGTAAAATGAATATATACATGAAATTAAGAGTGTATAATAAATAATAAAATTAACAAACACAAATAAATATACAAGAAAAACATACATGATTCATAAATTTCTAGTACAGTAAACCATCTTAAATAAATGCTGTTAGAGAAAGAAAGAAAGAAAGAAAAAAGGATAAGAACTATTGCAATTGAGACTTTCAGATTTAGTCTGATTTTTAGTAAATTTCTTCTTGAAACTACATGAGACACACATACCAGAAGAATCAATTTAGAGCAAGATATACTAGCCATTCATAAACAGACACCCAAGATCATCCAGTTCACCAAAAAGGTGTGTTAGGGGGTAGGGAATAAAAACCCTAATAATAATAATCTATCACCTGATAAACTTCCCCATCACAATGCTGCACAACCATGGCAGATCCAGGAGCGCTTGTCTCTTCGTAGTTAACCATTCCAGGGTCAGTTGAAAACTGGAGCTTCTTAAACCTAGCCTACGGAACACCCCACCTAAACAGGTGAAACACACACCACCCTGACTTGCCACTTCCTTCCCCTTCATGTCTCTCTCTCTCTACCTTATTTCACCTTCTCAGCCAAAGTGTTACCAGATTAAATCCAAACCAGAAAGGAACACTCAAAAATCCCAACTCATGACAGCAAAAGATAGACAAATCATGAGGAATGGCATGAGAAATCCATATATATGATGACGATGACAAACATCACCACTGGTACCTTTACTATGAAAAACTGCTACAAGACCTTTGTTCTAGTCTACTTACAAAAACTGAGACAGATAATATTTCAACAACTTGAGGCTAGGTTGGCTCTCCAAGGCAAGTGAGGTATCGGGTAAAGCTGCTTTTTCAAGTGCAGACTCAACACTACATACGGAAAGAATGCAATAGCACAAATCTAGATCAGAATGAGAAAATTCCTGAATACATCAGAAAGCATCAGATTTTCAATAGATAAAGTATTAAAAGATATGAAGATGAGAATGAGGAAAAAAGGAAAATGGACAACAGTGGACAAGACAGCTTAAGAAGTGAGGCAAGAAAGGTGAAAGAAGGATGAATGGGAAAGGTAGTGAGCTTAAAAAATAAAAGCAATCCAGAATGAATAGAGTAAGATAGAGTAAGATAAAGCAAAATAAAGCAATAAATAATGCAAGGAAACTGATACAATGGTGATGTACAAAGAGAAAAAAAAAATGTGATCTATGGGGAGGGAAAAAGGAATGACAAAAAAAAGAACACTAAAGATGGCCAAGAAACCTTACCCTGATTTCAGCAGTCAGCTTTTTCCTCTCTGCTTCAGACACTTGGAGCTTTGATGTGAGGTCATTCACCTGGCCCTCAGCGGCAGTTAGGGCCTTCTCGGCGGCATTCAAGTCACGCTCCTTCTTCAGCAAC